AAAAGAGTCACACCTTGTCGCGGTTAAAAGAATCCTAAGATATCTTAAAAGCACACAAAATCTTGGCCTTTGGTATCCGAAAGAATCTGGTTTTGAACTAATTGCTTTTACATATTTTGATCATGCAGTAAACTAGATAGATAGAGCACTTATGGATCATGTCATTTCTTAGGTGACAAGCTAGTCAGTTAGACTTCAAAGAAGCATAATTGTGTTTCAACTTCTACTGCGGAGGCAGAATATGTCGCGACAGCTAGTTGTTGCTCACAAGTGCTTTGGATGAAAACACAACTTCAAGATTATGGATACATTTTTAACAAAGTCCCTATCAACGGTGATTCCAATAGCGTGATTACCATAACTGCTAATCCAGTCCAACACTCTAAGACACCAAACACATCAATATCAGGTATCACTTTATCAAAGATAATGTTGAGAAAGGATCTATTGAAATGCACTTTATACAAACAGATATTCAACTTGCTGATGTTTTTACAAAACCTCTCAATGAGAAAAGGTTTTATTTTTAGTAAGTAAGCTTGGGATGCTAAATTTTTTTGTATGAAGATCTGATCTATCTGTTGAGGGGGAGTCTGTGTCTATATCTGAATTTGATTCTGATCTTAATGTTCTTAAATGTCAAATGCTAACGACTTGTTTGAGTTTATGAGTTGTATTGTTAAGGGGGAGTACATCTCATTGCATATCTAATCTGACATCATTCTCAGGTATATTTTCTAATCCTACACTTCATATACGTAGAAGAAGGACAACTTCTATGTATATAATTTTTTTTCTAAATGTTCAAACCACTTCTTTGAACTAAAAATGAATTTATTGTTCTAAGAAGTGTGATTTTAAATGATTTTCATTTTATTTTTTTGAAACGAGTACTTTCTTTGATCAGGTTTTTAATCGAGTCAATACTTGAGTATTTTCTCTTCTTACATAACTCCAATACCTGATTCAGATGTTCTTCAAATTGTTATTATCACGTCTCTAAACATGCAAAACTCATTTATGGTGATAATACACTCATTTATATTCAAATTTGTTTTTATATACATTGAACATAATTCTTTGATTGATAAATTTTTTGATTGTTAAATAATTTGTTATTCTTTGATTGTTAATTTGTAAATTTATTCTTACAGATCTTCGTTCATTTCTCCCTAAATTCATAATTTGATTAATGAATAACTCTTGAATATATATTTCATGTACTTAATTGCAATATCTTTTTGATCAAACTATTGTGATCAATTGAGCTTACAATGCAAAATTTTAGGAGGGACTGAGAGCTTATCAGAAATACCTCTGTGGACTATCAGAATCGATAACCCTACCCAAGAGGTCAACCATATTGAGTTTGTGTATTGAGCTTAAAAAGAAAAAGAGAGGGGTAGTTGAAGTGAGCTTAAAAGAATTAATGAGAGTTGTGTCCAGGATTAAAAGAATATCATAATCCTGATCTATCCAATATAATCCGAGCAAACCGCAAAATCTATTACTTCTCAATTCTTTCGAGACTACTATTGAAAAAGGCAAAGCTCAGGCCAACTCTTGCTTAAAAATCCACCAACTACTCATTTATCTCTCAAAAGATAAGTGTTTCATTAATATTTGGGGCACGCAACTCATTATCTATCAGTTTCTCATTTAGAGATAACTGATATTGGAAAAAGAAGAAAATATGCCCCCCCCTTCAAGTCTTTTTGATCACTAATCGAGTCTGATAAATTTGTATAGTCCACACTATTTATCTTGTTGAACTTAAAATTGAAGCATTAGTTGCTTTATTTTTCTACACTACACAAATTTTATAGAATATCTGTTATTTTATCATAACATTCATAGATATGCTTTTAAAGCTATCAATGATTGAATAGAAGTCCTGGTGAGATGATCGTCAAAAAGTCTCACATATGAAGTACATTCGTTGTACATAATATATTTGTTATATTCACAGGCCAATCTTTTTATAAAAGATTGAAAATAGGTTCATAAGTTGAATCTGGTTCTTTCCCAAAATTTCATATTCTGAAAAGATTAATTAAGCGGATTTGAAAAGATTTGCTTAATTTTCTATGAATTGACGGTATTCTTTCAAGATCATCCATTTCGCGGTATGATGTCAATGCTTCTCATTATCATCATAAGGGGGAGTATACTTAAAACGAATGAATCTTCTAAGTCATTTCTGAAGACTGGAAAGTTGTTCCAAAGATTTGAAGGAGTTGATAGATAATTGCTGATGATTGCTGAAGATTATTGTACTGCAATGATCAAGGGGGAGTGAATGTAAAGATTATTCTATATTGAAAGAAAGGGAGAAGATTGCTCAAATTGTTGAAAAGATGATGTTATCAATTTCAAGGGGAGCTGAAATTTTCTAAAGCTGATTAACAATTAGGGGAGATTGTTAATATTTGAGGGAGATTGTTTGAAACTGTTAAAGTGTTGAAGATTGTGAAAGGTAGCGGGAGATTGTAAGAGTTTTAAAGTTTAAAGAAAATAGTTCTTAAAAAGAGGAAGACTGCTAAAGCTTTAAAGATCAAATCTTGAAGATTTCAAATTTCTGAATGAATTTTGAAGATTGTTGCTGTTAAAGCTTAGAGCTTAAAGATATGAAGAATTTCTTGTTTTAGACTTGAATGCAAAGGGGGAGATTGTTGTGAAAACCAGATCCTGGTTATTACCCAAGGTAATAAATATGTGATTATTTGATTAAATGATTACGTGATAGCATGATAATTTGATACATGTCGGTATGAGAATTTGTGTATTAATAGGATATGTATATATATATATATATACTATCTTATAATGCATTTGGCTAAAACTCTTAATCTCTTAAACTCTTAAACTCTTAAAAACAACTTCTATTGCTTTAGTTACAACCTACTAAAGCATATCTATCCTAAATCCCCCTTTCTAAACCCAATCCCATTTTTATCGGCCCTAACCCAATCCTATTTTATCGGCCCTAACCCAATCCTATTTTATCGGCCCTAATTCCCAATCCCATTTTTATCTATCGCAACCCTAATCCCAATCCCATTTTATCGCCCCTAACCCAATCGATGAAATCGTTTAATTCTCAATCCCATTTCAAGCACGCTCATCGCTTCCTTCCCAAAGCGACGATTTCCAAATTGATTTTCTCAAAGATGTCGATTGAATTCAAGACCATATATCAATGCGGTTAGGGTTTTTTTCGCTTCTTAATGCGATCCATCATTCCCGATTCCATGTTGTTAGGTTTTTTCCATTCGATCCATCGCTCTTAATTTCATACGATTTGTTTTTAGTTTCCTTCTTACGGTACTATGGTAGAGCATCTTCCTTCACTTCTTCAAAATGTTCTTCATTAGGGTTCGAATCTCCC